TGGCCCCAACGGGAATGACTTCCCTGAACCTTTAAATAATCCAGACATTGAACCTCTAGACTGTGGAGCATGTTCTTCAATCCGCCAAAATGTGAGGACCCTTAGTGACACCGGAAAGGGACCCACAGTTGCGGGTGTCTGTATACCAAGATCGGAAAAGGCAAGTGTCATAACCCGACTCATGTTCGTTGTACTGAAGGGCTAAAAGGAGCTGCTGGAAAGAGCTAATGCAACAAGTACTGAATTGCTGAACGATTTCATCGTGTTGTGATGCGATTGAAAGCTATTCTGAAGTCTTCACATTGCTTCTGGGCCCGGAAAACCCTAAACCCTAAACCAACCCTAAACCCTAAACCCACCCTGAGGTCTAAACCCCGAACCCTCAACCTTTAACCCTAAACTCTAAACCCTCAACCTTTAATAAACCCACCTCAAATCCAAAACTTCCAAGCCCAAGCCGAACCGTTGGACTTGAAGCCCCCACAGCCCCCTCAAGTCTGATACCTCTCACGGGGCTTATTGGGTTTAGTGTGTTGGGTTTGGGGTTTGGGATTTAGGGTTTAGGGTTTAGTTTCTTGGGGAGACCACATACCACCAAAGGTTGCATGGAAATATCGCCTCAGGCGAGTGGGGAAACCATAGCAGCCGAAACCTTGAATAGCTACCTGCCCGAACCCCTGGCCCTAAAACCTGAAGCCCTAAACCCTCAGATCGACAACTTAAACCCTCAACCCTGTAATATGAGTCTGTGAACCCTCAGCCCTTCAATGTGTGGCCTCAAACCTCAACGCCCCTCTTTTGGTTCAGGGTTTAGGGTATAGCAGATGATAGAAGTCAAATGGAAAACTCTTGGAACAATGCATGGAACCTGGACGTTTTCAGGGGCGTATAGGGTTTAGGGATGGAAGAAGGCAATGGAAGCTGCTATGTGATGGGGGTTTTATACTGCAGTTACCATGGGGAGCCTTTCCTCCATTGCCCACGAATCTCCTAAGCATAAAAGGCCGTGAGCACCAAAGCCTAGTCTCTATAGCAACTTCCAGTTTCTATTCCATTCATCCATTCCCTACCTCAACCTCAAAACTGATGCAATCCCTTCCCACACCCGGTAACGCCAAACATTAAGGGTGTCCCCCCAACCAACCAATTCTGATTCAATTCGTGCAATTATCCCTAAAAAGCTCAAGTTTCATCAGGAGAAACAACAACCCAATCTCTATAACAGTTCCAGTTTTCTCTGCCACTCACACCGTAAGCCCTACATCCTTAGATTAACCCACAAGTCCTACTAAGCACCAGAAACTTTGAAACCCTAAACCCTGAACCCTAAACCCTAAATCCTGAACCCTGAACCCTAAACACTGATCCCTCAGCCCCAAACCCTAAACCCTAAACCCCTAAAACCCTAAAACCCTAAACCCGAAATCCCTAAAACCCTAAAATCCTAAACCCTAAATCCCTAAAACCTTAAAACCCTAAACCCGAAATCCCTAAAACCCAAATCTCTGAAACCCAAAACCCTAAACCCGCCTGCCATCAGCTTCTGTCGCCTCGACACCGCATTCTTCGCCCGTAAGGACAGCAGCACGGCGAGTAGCAAGCCAACAGCCTCAACAAAGAGAAGGGTTTCGGGGTTTAGGGATTTAGGGGTTTAGGGATTTAGGGGTTTAGGGTTTACGGTTTAGGGGTTTGGGGCTTCGGGTTTAGGGTTTAGAGTTTAGGGCTCAGGGTGTAGGGCCTGCCTTGTACATGCTTGAATTTTCCCCTAGAGGCGGTATATGAGTTTGTCTGATGCTTGTTTGTTCAGAGTAAA